AAGTAGACAAGGGAGGGGAGACAACGGCAAATGACACGGAGGAAGCCGCGGCAAGAAGGTGTAGAAAACGCCAAAACGCGGGGGGGGGGGGAAAGGCGAGACGAGATACCGCGTAGAAGTAAAAGCATGGGGGGAGTCCAGTGAGAAGAATGCAAGGAAGAAGCCCATCCAAAAAGGGACGGGAGGGAGGGCAGACCGTAGCGCGCACCCCGGATATTCAAGGAAATATAACGATGGTCACAAAGCACAATTGAGAGGGAAGGAAAGGAGAGAGTGAGGGAGGGGCGGGAAGGATGACGGAGGGAACAAAAGAATTTGCGATAGAGACGAAGAAAAGGCGACGAAAAATCGAGCCGGTCCGCAGAAGGAGGGCACGAAAACGAATTGACAAAGAGCGGGGAGAAAGACACGAACCTCCACCCATCCCCATCCCCTCCTCCCCCACCTCCCCCACCCCCATCTCGTCGCTCACACCCGGCATCCCCAACAAAACCCCAAACGGCACCCTCACCCCGCTCGGCGCCACGAGCGGCAGGCGCGCCGCGCGCAGGAGGGCCGCGGGCGTGGGGCGCGCGAGGGGCGGGAGGGGGTGTGGTTTCGTCCTTGTGCTGGAGGAACTCGGGTGTGCGGGGGAAGTGGTGTTGTGTGAGGTGGGTGTAGAAGAAAGAGTGGAGGGAGGAGGAGCAGTGAAAGAAGAAGGAGCGGCGTAGCTGGAGCGCGGCCTGGCGGAAGGGAACGCGGGCGAGGAAACGGAGCGGGGAGTGCGCGCGGGCGCAGCAGCAGCGGGGCCGCGAGAATCAAGAGACGTAGAGGTAGAAGTAGAGGCAGCTCCGAATGGCGCATAAGTCCCCGCGCTCGCCGACGGACGCCTCTCCACGATCTTCCCTGTTCCACTCGGGCGCCGCTTCAATAGCACATCCGCAGGTGAACTCGTCTCGGATGCCGGCGAGACGGGAGACAAAGGCGAGCCCTCGCCCAGCGGCGATGACAACGACAAAGGCGACAACGGGTAGCACGGCGAAACCCCGCCAAAGGACAGCGGCGACACGGGAGGGGACGTCCATGCCGTCTCGCCCGACGCGCCGGAGGAGGAGGAGGAGCGCGAGGACGCGGAAGTGGGGGATACGCCTAACCACGAACTCGAGCGATCCGAGATGGGCGCGAGCGGTGGGAGCTTCGTCGTCCTGGCCTTCTCGCGTTCGCGCTCGAGCATGAACGCGGCGAGCGCGGGCGGGACCATCCCCAAGGGAACCGCCGCCGGCGCGGGGGAAGAGATGGTGTGCTTGCGCACGCGGGGCGGGGACGCAGAGGCGTGGGGCAGGAGCAGCTGCAGGCGCGCGAGGGCACGGCGGGCGGGCGGGGGTGCGGCGAGCGGGGAAGCCGAAGGCGCGCAAGTAGTGGTGGGGGTAGAGGTAGAAGTCGAAGCCGACGAAGGCGTGGGCGAGGGAGACGCGCGAGGGAGCGACGAGAGGGCGCGACGGCGCGTGTAGTGCGGGTGTCCATGCGTGGTGGATGCAGGTGGCGAGGAAGACGGCGTGGACGACAGAGGCAGAGGATCGGGATACAGCGTGAACGACGCGCGCTTTTGCTTCTGCGCGAGCCGCACACTGTCCATTTCCTGCTCCTGCTCGCTGGCGGCGACAAGGAGAGCAGCGTCGTCGGCGAGGTCTAGCTTGGGGGCGGGCTTGCGGCGGACGCGTGCGGTGGTGGTGGACGCCATGATCAAGCAGCACAAGGGCTAAAGCGAGGAATCGAGGCTTTTAAGCAGCCGCCTTTATTTGAGATTTTGGATGGCACGCTTCCTTGTCGAGGCTAACTCGCTTTCCACACGTGTATCACCCAAACGCTATTTAAGCATCCACGCTCTAGCCGTATATTGCTGTACTTCGTTGCATTTATCGCGTTCATGCTGAAGCCAGAAGCAAGGGTAGCCATCGACCAATATGGCGAGAAAGAGAGAGAGTGGTCGGTGACTTGACTCGTTGCCGGATACTCTCTCTTTCTCTGCAATTACCACCATGGCGCGAAACAAGAACGACAGTAGCGCCATCTGCCATTCCTGCTGCTCGCTGCTTTTTCTCTTCCACCCTCCACCCGTTTTGGCTGAGGACCAACGCGAAAAAATCTGGCGCCACCCCAATTGGTCCCGTTCAAGTGTTGACCGTCCTTCACATCTGTCACTTGGGGCTTAAATCCAATCTGACATTGCCTATCTATCTTGATGTTGACCGAGGCTAGTCTGAACTCGGACAATTTACCGTTGCATCACGTAGGTATTTCTCCGCGCTCACCTCCTCGCTCCTGTCAAACGAAACGCCTCGATCAAGTCCTTGAATATTCCTTCAGCGGCAGTCCATCATCCGTACCTGTTCGGACCGCATTCCAGCCTGGGTTTGAAGTCTACGTTTCACCAGAGTAACTGCGCCTCAATCTTGGATCGGATTCCCGCATCCGAGTCCCTTAGCACGCCCATCTAGTCTCTTCCCCGGCGCTGCTTCGTACTCGTGCACCCTCCCCAACTAAGCAATCACCATTCGCCTGCTTTGATTCACCTGTTTGCCTTGCTCCCTCTTTAACCTCGCTAACTGTCTGTCGACTGCTCTCGCGCTCTCATAATCAATTGTGTATCCTCCCGAACAACCCGACAATATAACATGAGGGGAGGGAGGGCCTCTGATCCGATCGCAGCCCTAACCTCAAGAAAGTACTCATACTCATACCCTCCCCTCGACCAACGCATCACAATAGAAATGCGAGAGAACCAGAGGACGAACGGCGAGGACAAAAAGGAAAGAAAAATAAGTCGCTTGGCGCCATGCATCACCCGACCCCGGATCGAACCGCTTACTCAAGGGCCAGACAATTGGTCGAAGGGGAGGTGCGTGCCACGCGCCACCGGGTGTTTTCTTTCCTTTCAACGTGAGGCGCACATGTACCCTACCCTACTTTCACTGTACGTGATCAAAAAATCCACAGCGAGGCTCGTTCGACTGGGACCAAGGATGCGTGGCTGAACTTGAATCTTCAGTTTGATTTTGAAAAACTCGATGCCGATGCACGATCGAATCTGGAGCCAGCTCAAAACAACCGAATCGAACCAAGAAAAAAAGCGTGTTATCCTCAAAATCACCCGGCCCCGAATCGAACAGGGAGCTCCCGCTTGAAGCCTCGTGTGCGTGTTTGAAAGGCCAGCAGGTGCGCGCCACGCGCCATCGGGTGTTTCGTTTCCTATAACCTGAGGTTTATATGTGCAGACCCTACTTCCATTGTACCCGAACAGCAAGGCTTGTTCGACTTGGACCTGAACTTGCATAAAGTTTGGGAGTTGGAAAGTCCGGGATCAAAAGTCCGGGAACGATCGCCACGGCTGATCGGCGAACTATTGGCATCAAACACGGCCGAGGGGAGACTGAAGTCATTTTTGCACAACATCTGGGAACGATGCACTCTATGAGCTGATCCCAATGTCCTCCAATGCAGCCAGCCGAGGAATGAGAACATCCCAGCACTGAATCGCTGCTGAGGCGGTCACAGAACGAATTTACACACGATGGTAACAGTATGACAAGTGTCGATCTCCTGCAATTAGCGCGTAGGCACCCGTAAATGAATTTGACTTGCTCAGCGAGAGAATTTGCGCGAGCACAATGGAGCGAGTACTGTCAAATTGATGCAATAAGCACTAAATATGTACAGTAACAGATTCGCACTCTAACAGTGCTCAATGCTCATGCTTATCCTTCATTCGAGCAAAGGAGATATTGCAGGTATCTTCAGAATCTAAGTCACAGAAGAAAGTCCGTGAAGACGCGTGGTAGGGACGTGGCAGGACGCGACGCGTTTATTGACATGTGCTGTCTCACACGATCGGTATTCAAACTCCGACGTATTTCGATCACATCAAAGGTCTGGCCGGTGCGGCCAGACCTGATCGGCGGACTTTTGATCCCGGACTTTCCAACTCCCAAACGGACACTGAACTTGGATCTTCAGTTCAAATTTGAAACACTCGATACCGATGCACGATCGAATAGCGTCAGCTCAAAGCAACCGGATCGAACCAAGGGAAAAAGATCTTATCTTCGAGATTACCCGATCCCGAATCGAACGGGGACCTCCCGCACATGAGCTTTGTGGGAGATAAGAAAGAGCCTGCAGGTGCGCACCACGCGCCATCAGGTGTTTTCTTCCCTCCAACTCAAAGCAAGGCTTACAGAATCTCGAGGGTTGTTTCCCCCCGCAATTTCGAAGCGGAATTTGGAACACGTCTCAATTCCCTCGGAGCCCGGTATACAATAGGATCTGTCTGAGAGACAATTTAACGGATCCATCGGTTCAAGCCCGGCCTCCAGTAAAGTGAACGAACCAAGGGAGGAGGAAAAAAAAGAGAAGACAGCGAGAGCATCACCCGACCCCGAATCGAACGGGGACCTCCTCCTCAGAGCTTCGCCTGCGTGTTTGAAAGTCTAGCAGGTGCGCGCCACGCGCCATCGGGTGTTCTCCTCCTCTCAACCTGAGCTGTACACGGACACGACTTTCGGATAATATCCCCCATTGGTTACACCCGAGTTGAAATGGAATCGAGCATGAAGCTTGAAGGTTTGTCCCGTCCAAAAAACGTATGACCGCAAGTTCGAAGACTTCATGAAAGGAATCGAACCAAGAGGGAAAAATCCTTTTTTGTTTTCCCGACTATCCTCCGACCCCGAATCGAACGAGCTCCACAGAATCATCACAGAAGGCGCGTGCTATGCGCCATCGGGTGGTTTCCTCCTTCCAAACTGAGGTGCATATATACCCCACTGTTCACCCACGGAAAAAAAACCTCAACATTTTCAAGTGGGGTGGTCTATCCAACGTTAAGACTCTGATTGGAACCAAGTACTCTCGATCCAGCAATGCGCACACCTGTCCACCCGGATCGAACCCAGAGCCTGTTCTGTGTTCAAAACAAACAACCGAGCCAAGGGGGGAAAAGACACAATGAAAGCGAGGCAGCATCACCCGACCCCGAATCGAGCGGGGACCTCCTGCTTATACTCGGCCAACGGATACAAGGTAAGAGAAGCGGGCGCGCACCATGCGCCATCGGGTGTTTGTTTCCCTTCATTCAATCTGAGGTGTACCCTACTTTTCATCTCATAAAAATCCACACTGAGACTTGCTCGACTTGGACCAAGGATGGCTGAACTTGAATATTCAGTTGGATTTTCAAACACTCAACGCATATCGAATTCTAGACTCAGCTCAAAACAACCGAATCGAACGGTTCGAACCAAGAAAAAAGGCGGTTCACTTTAACCCAATCACCCGACCCCGAATCGAACGGGGACCTCCTGCTTAAGACGAGAACAAGAGAATAGAAGAAGCAGGTGCGCGCCGCGCGCCATCGGGTGTTCTCCTCCTTTCAATCTGGGGTGTACACCACTTCCGCTTCCCAATTCTTTTCATGGGGTCGAACTGGAAGTTATCGAACATGATTTGGAGCTGATTCGGGGAGTACCAGTTCAAGAAACAAAAATCCTAGGCCACCAGTAGGAAGGAATTCACAAACGAAACGAATCGACGAATCGACGAATCGAACCAAGGGCGTCAAAAAGATAAGACGGCGAGATCTTGGCATCACCCGACCCAAAATCGAACGGGGACCTCCTACTGTTTCTTCCTTGCACGCGGGGATAAACACAAGAATCAGGTGCGCACCACGCGCCACCGGATGTTTCATCCCTTTCAATCTAAGGTTTACTGTAGAAATCCCAAATCTTTTTCTCAACCGCATGCTCGAAATGGAATTATCGAACACGTTTGGAACACGTCTCAACTCCTTCGGAGCCCGGTGTACAGTAGGACCTGTCTAACACTAATTCAAAGGATCCGTCAGTCTAAGCCCGGCCTCATGGAAAGCGAACGAATCGCAATCGAACGAAGGGGAAAAAAGATTCGCATTCTCGGAATCACCCGAGCCCGAATCGAACGAAGACCTCCTGCTTGCACTGTCTCAACGCACATCATCAAAGGAAAGCATGCGTGGCCACGCCACCGGATGTTTTCTTTCTTTCAACGTGAGGCGTATGTACCCCACTTTTTACCCTCTTGTATTTTCTCGCCTGAGTTTAGATGGATGGAATCGGACATGAACCTTTGCTCGATCTGTCCATCCCAGAAAAAATACATGACTGCCAGTTGAAGGGTATTCAAAACGAATCGAACCAAGGGAGAAAAACATAACTTCTTCATACTCATCGCCCAACCCACAATCGAACGAGGTCCTGAGACTTTCTGTCTTCGAAAGTCCCGTAAGCGAGCACCACACGCGCGCACCACCGAGCGTTTCCTTCGCTTCAACCCAAGGTGTATGTACCCCACTTTTTGGCGCACGAGATCTAAGGGGTCCGGCCTGGTTGACTTTTGAGATAGATTACCGTGATTCTTGAAGTTTGGGCAGGGGTCATTCGAACTAGCTGAATTTGCTCGAATCAATCCAGATTCTATGCAAATAAACGAATCGAACCAAGAGAAAAAAAGTTTCCTCGTCAGAATCATTCAATCACCCCACCTGTTCACAATTTCTTGCATCGGGGACGAATACAAGAAGCAGGCGCGCACCACGCGCCATCGAGCGTTCTCTTCCCTTCAATCAATGAGGTGCGTATCCCACTTTGTGCACCGCACCAAAAACTCAACATCAGTTCAACCTCCGTCCGGTCTTGGATATTTGATTGAGCTGGGGCCGCACGGGACAGCTAAACCGGTATGAACTCGAACTACTCCACGGTCTGCGCAAAAGTAGACCAACCGAACTAACCACAAAGAAGAAGAAAAAATGAAAATCGCAAAGATGTACCACCACCCAGCCCGAATCGAACGAGGTCCGACCTCCTCCTGCTCGCGAGTGCCGATTCTTAAACCGCCTCTTACAAGAAAAGGTGCGCCCACGCGCCATCGGGTGTTTCTTGTGCCTTTGAAACAGGTTCCTTATGTCGGTACCGGTTCAAAAAACTTGAACGCAGGCTTGTCGACTCGGAACTAGGATCAGATACCCCGACGTCAATGTATCTGATCGAGTCGAATTCAGATCTTGTTCGAAGAAATTCACTAAACCCAGCTGCAGGAGGATGCGAAAAAAGAGATTCCGCCGTGTCTACCACCCGGCCCATGATCGAACGGGGACCCCCTCCCTCCAACCCGAGGCATGAATATACGGCCAAAAGGTTGATGTCCGGCCTTGGGGCAGAGAACAGAGAACCGTGAGCGACAAGACCTATAGCCATTTTGGATCCTATTGAATGAACCTTTTCACACTTCACTGGTACGTATGCGCATGCGTAAACGATTTGACCAAAGAAAAAGCAAATGTCTTAGCTGAGCGTATCAGCACAACCCGGCCCCGAATTGAGCGAGTCCTGAGCACGCATAACCCTTACACATATTGAGATCTTGAGAACGGACGGGCTCTATTATTGTACAACAAACATTCCAAACTTATGAAACCTGCGCTATCGGTTGGAATCCAGGAACCAGAAAGTCTTCCTGCTCCTCGACTTCCGTGCCCTCAGGCACGTATCTTGAGATGATCGCACCTGAGCTGTCCCGGAAACGTCCCCACGAAACCCACCACTCGTCCGCATCGTCCATCGCGTCGTAGCCGAACCTGCCATATCCCGAGTCAAGCCAATTATCAACAAGCCAACGGCGTGAAAACCTACACCAGCCGAAAGTCGTCCAGCATCTGGTGATAATCGCCTTCCATCACATTTCGCCCCTCCGCGTGGTTCACGTGCATAGCTGCATCGCGCTCGACCTGCGCATCCCCGTCTGGCATCGTGATCACGGCAAGAAGCTCCTTTTCCATTTGTCGGATGCGAACGCAACGGGGTTCCCTAATGCGTTATTAGACAAATACACATGATTGAACCAATACATGCCTGTGTTCTTGGAACGCGTATAAAAACTCCGGGACACGGTCGCGGTTACGCGTGTGCGAAAACACCTTCCCAATAAAGACACCATCCTCGAGGGAAATAGAATAAGAATGTGCTGCTCCAGGCTCGACTCGCAGGATTAGATGCACGGAATCATTTAGCACAGTGTATGACTCACTGGTGAAGGGTGAGCTGCCTCCCCAAGGACTAGAACCCTCCCGCTTTTTGAGACCCACGACTGAAGGTCATGGTAGTCTTTGATTTGAACACAGGTACCCGGTCCTGCGAGGGCGGCAATTTTTTGTATTCTGCGGGGTACCAATTAGAAAGACGAGCTGAAGGTTCTGTTTAACAAACGCACGCGACGGCAGACGGGCCAATGGAATCAGCGACACTCTTCTCGGATGCTTGAGACCAGGTTCCATCTTGCGAACAATCTGGCGTGAAAAGCGACAGGGTCATGTCGTTCGTTGTCCCCTGCACGTACAATAAATCTGGGTCGTTGTTGATCACACTGAGAATAACCTACCACCGGGCAAGTCATTAATCCTGTATTCGAAAGTTAGATACACAATGAAATGGGACGCAAATCGTGCTTGCCTCGGCCGGAACCCGCCCAGATCGTGCTCTACAGAAGGTATCAAAGTCAACCAAGACAACTCTCAAGAGATAGCGGTGATACTTACACCCAACTCGTCGTAGAACAACGGATGCTGCTGCTCCACTATATCCGTCTTCGAAATAATTGCACTTTGGCTGCATTCAGCTTGACAGAGCTAAGTACGATGAGCACATCAGGACACACACTTGATCATCGCCAATCCCGTAGGCACACCGTCCTCATCTGGTGCGTCCTCTTCCCTTAGCAGCGCTCCGCGTACGACTCCATGAATGCCGTCCGCGCCAATAATAGCGTCTGCCGTATGGGTGTCGCCAGACCGCAAGGTTACAGAGCAACCGTCACAGTCTATGGTTGCGACTTCGGCCCCGAGAATCACGGTTACTCTCGGGACGCAAGTCTCCTCGGGAGCTTCGACTGCAGCGTCGTAAAGAATGCGGATGAGGTCTCGGTGCTAAATATATCGTTCAACATGAGACGGCGAATGAAGCCATCATGATCCACTCACTCGAAACTGTGTGTAACCTCCCCGCGCTTCACTCAGCAGCTCGGGATCCCAACGGTTCACACCTGTGTCATTTTAGTTGTATTACCATGAAGGGAGCGATATGGAGACCTATGAATTCTTCACCCGGGCCGCCATTATCTGGTGCATTTCTTCAGTCAAATGGACGTGCATGATACACGACACGCACATTTGTGGACCGAGAAGCCCGGCACTACCGCAGCATTGGCTTTGATCGCATCCTCCATCCCCCAGTCAAGGAGGATCTTGGTACCATTGGGAGGCACCCTAATAAGGAATGGATGATTTCATGCGTAGTATCAGCAGTGGGTAAAGCGCCTACCGCGCACCCCCGCTGGGTACCTGTCCAAGCTCAGCATTGATGAAGAGCCGAAAGTATAACTGCTCACAGCACCGGTCCCACCCAGTTCCGGGACTTTCTCCAAGACTAATACAGTATGCCCAGAGGCCTTGAGCGAGAGAGCGGAAGCGAGGCCTGGTGGTATCATAGTTAGCTGCAAGTCGGCGTGGCGGTGCGCGGAATCTCGCCTGAAACAGAGGCCCCCACAATTATCTTGCAAAGGGTCAGGACGAGCGTACGGGGTGTATGGAGTGACCTACAAATTTGAGTCCTGGCCCTGAGTCGCTCATTATGGCTTAGCTGGTCGGTTGGGTCTTGAGCGGAGTAGATGGGTAGTATGTGGACGTTGCAGTTGCTCGGTAAGTCGGTTGGACTGCAAAGTGAGTAGAGCGTCGGCCTTACAAGTCAGTCTCCGCAGCGAGGGAGGTCGAAGGGTAGACAATCCTTCTTGTGGGCTCTACGTTGATAAACCGATGCGGGCATCACACAAGCTGCACACAAGCCTAGTCGTCTGGTGAGAAACATCAAAAATAGTTTTCCGATGGGTCTTGTAACTGTTGTCGTCTCACGTCCGTGCGGTGCCGTTGTACTGCAGGGCTCCTCGGAGGCGCGCAAGAGAAAGAGGTTTGACCGCCTTAGTGTTGATACGACCTGTCTCGAAACTGACACGAATTGGCGGGTTGTGCTT